GACGATCTTGCTCGAATTCATCCTTTAGGCTCAAGAATCCAACACGCCCAAGTAAATCCAACTCTGGTGAACTATGAAATAGTTCAACTTGAGACGTGGTTACTATGACCTATAAAACAATAGATAATGCATTTTCTTTTACACTGTCATCTTTGCGTCTCAACAATAGATGGGTAACAAGTGAAGTGTACTTTCATAACAGCAGGGCTGTGATCTCTCTGATTACCGTGGGTTTAGTGGCGATTTCATCCTACTAGTATAATGCAGCACGCTGAAATTAGTAATAAACTTAGCGTTAGCCATTTTATTAACATGTACTGGAAATCGGAGTGTCCGTAGTTCGACGAAAATGAAAAAATCGAAAAGACCCATTCGTGATATTAATTACGATTTGCACATCACACCTAAATCGCCCACTCTACCACTGATTAGCCTGCCAAAAGTAGGCGTCCTATGCAATTCGCATCGATTTGTGAATGCCAGATGAAGTTTGCTGTTGTCACTCAAAAGCGACCCCGACCGAAATTGAAGCAATGTACTGCAGGCAAACTGGGCTGCGTGCATTTCTCAGTTGGAATGCGCAGCATCCTTTTCAGCCAGATATTAGCGACTTTAAATAATGCGTGCTATGCATTCTTTCGAAACGACCTGTTGATCAGAAGTATGTGCATTAACTGTATCGATGAAGAACCAGAGGTATGTAGAGTTGTGAAAAGGGATAGGCGGTCCTTTCGTGAAGAGTCTACTCGAATTTTGCCAAAGCGAGCTAATGTGTTGTTCGGCCAGGGGCAGTCTATTTTAACAAAGGATTGCTTTTTGTATGATAGATGAGGTATTTGGTAACCGTGTAGTCAAAAGCGCTGAATTAAAGATTCTCACATACGCCGGAAGTTTCCTCTAAGCTATTACCAATGTATTCAGAAGCATTGTTCCTACTGCCTCGCGCGTTTTACTTGTCACAATTTACAATAACTCTCAGCATTCCCGCCCTCGAAAGACTATGTAAGAGTGGACAAGTTTAAAAACTACACCGCAGGTGAGCTCTAACAAGAGAAAAATTCGACTGAACTGCCTAATCATGCCAGGGTTGTGTGAATGCGTAGTCAGAACAATACTAAAAATACAATCACTTCGTGGCGGATACCGTAAAAGTGACGTTTGTCGCTTGTTAGCCAGTCACGTGGATACACCAAAGTTATTTGGTTTACGGAGTAGCAAGAATCATGTGATTATCAAGCAGAAGTGTTGAAAAAGCAGTGAAGTAGAGTTTCTATAAAACAACTATCGTTTCTGTTGCCTGATGAGATGGAGACTTCCGATTGAGGCTTCACACTCATCTTTAAACAAAATTATCCTCGTGAGGATGATTATCACGTACTCAAAACCAGTAAAATAGATCGACCCGAGCGCATATCCATCTACTGGATATATAACTTCAGTTGATAAAACCCGTGAAATGGGAATAATGTACTATGGCACAACGGTAGAACTGTCGTGCTTAAACTGTTACGACCGGTGGCCTGTTCCTTATCGGGCAGAATAGTGCAGCAGAAAATAATGCTATTATTGCTAATGATCTAATTTATTTAAGCAACGGCGACGCCAGTTGAATTCAGAACCGGTCCAGACAATTTGTGCTCACTCATATGCAAGGTGATAAAAAACACCACAACAGCTATCAAAGAAAAAAGATCAAGATCCAACAGGCCTACAAGCTATTATTCCTACTGATATTATCAATATTATTACTAGGCATCTTTCTTATGCAAGTTGATAAAAAACACCACAACAGCTATCAGAAACAAAAGATCAAGATCCAACAGGCCTACAAACTATTATTCCTATTGATATTATCAATATTATTACTAGGCATCTCTCATTATTAATTTCCTTATTTTCAACTGCAGTTCCTTGTTGAAATGCAGACACAGATCATATTGAATTGTTGCATAATTAATACAGATCTGTTTTCTGGAGTAGACCCTGTTCAGTTTATAGATATCCAGTAGGTAGTTCTCGGCCGCAAAAAATAACACACTCCAATGAGTTGAATTGCCCATAATTCATCACTCTTGTGATGGATGACCATGGTTCTAAGCCGGTTTTCTGGAGTCACAGACACAAAGTCGACTGATCCTCCTGCTTCTAGAACCGCCGACTTACTTTTAGTGTCTTCGAGAACTACAACTTCCGGCCCTCATTTAGCAACAGAGTCGCTACCTTTTACCATGATTTATGTAATAAAAAATAACACCTTCAGCACTGAAGATCGAATTGTTACCCATTACCCAGCTAACTCTCTCTTGAAGGAAACCGTGATTAATATCGCACGCTTGTTTCATCATCTTCGTGTAACTCGTGAATGACGTACCCTTTAGTGATGGTACATTGCCAAATGTCAACCAAATGCATCTCTGCGGCCCCGATATAAAGTCGGTATTGCTACCGAGAAGCAAAAGACTTTCTTTTAAATTGTCGGAAATGATTTTTCCCATTCAACGTCATCACCTTGAAGCGCCTCATGCAGGACTGGTTGAAGTCTCCAATGAGCTCTTTCCCTTAGAATCCTTCCAAGTAAGCACCTTTGAGTCTGAGGATATGCTTGTTTTATCATCGTAGTGTTTAAAAAAAATACTGCGATCCATCTACTCTGCAGGCCTCAAGATAAGAGAACCCAGGAGCTATGCCATAGAGCAGCGTACAATAAACCAGACACAGTACCAGTAGAAGGAATCATGAGAACCAAAGCTCAACATATAAAATCAGTACTACAGAAATACACAACCAGAGAGAACGTAAACGAACAGAATGGCAGGGAGGCACCTTAGAAACCAAGCAAAAACCAGATAATGAGACTACAAGGCATCAAGAATAAGTGATAAACTAGCTCTCATTTGACCAAACAGAAGGAAAGGGTCAAGTGGAAAATTAACCCTAAAGGAAATGCATGCGAATCAGTCGGAAAGAGGAACAGAACCACTCAGCTGGAGGCAACAACCTGAACGAACTAAAAAACAGGTCCCAAAACCGACAAGGGACTATTCTTGTGGTTTCGTCTGACACCAAAATCGAACAGCCCGGTCGGACATTTCAGGATACCAAATTATACAAACAGGGAGTTTCATGACGTCTTACTGTGGCTTATGGTCATTGTCCCACACAAAATTCATTCAAAGATATCGCAGCAATACTGAGGCCACTTCAAATTAATATAGTGAGTAATATCACCAACTGGTACGATTTTACCCAGATCATAAACCTGGTAATTCTTGGTGATGATTAGACTTTTATCAATTTTGATGTTATTTTAGTTTACACTGCTTTGCCCATCGCTGATAGTCAGTAAGACATCCTCAAGAACAGCCGCACTCCCCTGCATTTATAGGAGATTACGCAATGTATAGGAATATAGTTCCAATGTACTGTATTCACGTTTAATGACCAGATTTCCGAAAAGACTGGAGGATTCGCTCACAGTTTACCCTGATGTGGCCAACCTATTCTTAGCATAGCTTGAATCTCAGTCCACCGAGAGTTTGGCAGAGATGCATCGATGGCAGATTTGTTATCAAAAGACGTTATGTAAGTCAGCTTTTGTCATATCTCAGCAACTTCATTTGTTTTACTGTGAAGCATGAGACATCTAAGAAAAAGATTGCTCTCCTTGAATTCAAGGTCTCCGGGAGCCATGATCAGTTTGGAACCAAAGTTTGTTAAAAACTGGCTTAATCAGATTGCCACAAAAATTTAACTCTACTCTCCCACTGCCTATGAAGCGACCGATGGTTCGCAATACTGGTTCACCAAGTGAATGGTATCTGTAATAATACAGTTTTCCCAGAAAGCGAGACTAGCCGTATTAAAAAGGACATCGAGAGGCAGTGGATGTCTGATAGATTTCATCGAACATATGCTTCAGCCGACCTGGATACAGCAACTAGACAAAGCTTCGAACCAAATGACGAAAGTCGGATCCCGTAACGGCAGTGCTCATGTGAAAGTATCGGTTGTATGCTCTCCATCTTCAACATCCGTACCAATTTCCAAATGGACAACACCATGCAAAGACATCTGGTTCGCACGAACTGCTCGGTTCAGCCTGTTGATTATATACCAAATGTGTCTACGAGATTTATCGCACCTATTGCGGTTGCATTAATACAGAACAATCCAGTTGGCAACTGAGTGTTCGAATCAACGTTTATAAAGAACAATGTCAGACCAGTTTAAGAAACGCGGGCAGACTGAACGAACTAAAGCATTACTCAGCTATTACACTTCATATATTGGCTGAGAACGATCGGGTTAAATTTGATGATATGCATCTGCTACAGCGAAACCTTGGTGTATGTGCATAGATGCGCCTCTGAATAGTAGTTGTTCACCTTTGTGCGTTGTCAGGTCTGGTATTTTTGAGTTGTTTGCCGTTCGATTGAACTAAATTCATCGTACAAGGGTGACCCGGGGGCGAGACGGTGAGTGAAATAGCACTTTATTCAAAAAGTCACACGTGGAGCGTGCAGAGAGTATAACAGCCGTTCGCAACCGATAGGACAGATGACACTCCCCCGGTCGAAGCATGTATGACAGTATGTTGACCAGTCCCTGCTAAACCGCGTTGTCAGTGTTTTGATATTAGCCATTTGTTCCTGGATAAAGGCCACCTTCGGTAGCCGAAACGTCGGACAGTTTCATTTAAAATATCCGTTGAGTAATCACCGGCATTCTTGTGATAACTGAATTTCCATGAAGTTATTAGCTTCAGACTTCAATAGTTCAACTTCAATTATCGTGAGTGGAATATTATTTCGTGCACAATATAATCGACTGACACTGAGACAGAAGCGGAACAATAATTTTAGAACTCTCAGAAATATCATCAGTGCCGGTCTGTATCATTAGAAATTCCGCATTTACTTTTCAACAGGAGAAAGGAAGCATCATGGGCTACAATGATTCTGACGCAAGATATCCAAGTGAAAACTGTCACTCCAACTCACCCGTTTCCAAAACCGAGATCCCATTCTTTGTGAGACAAGTTCTAATGCACGCTTCGTATTGAGAGCAGTTAAGTCCTGCGACAGGTTGAATTCTTTACAATAAGGGAACTTACCGAGTAGAAATCCTCCAGATCCGTGATGCCACCCAAATAATGCAAACATTGTTTGTTGACGTCAATTATTTTCTAAATAAGATATGTTTTATGGGAGCATTTTGTGATTCACTTACCGTGATGTTGTGAAGTTCTTCATACACCGGGGATTCCTAAATCAGCGAGCGTTATATGGTGGAAATCTGAACATACATCACCCGCTGGACTGTCGTGAATTAGGTCTATCTTCTGCTCGAGGCAGTTCTGATACTGGAGTTCGTCACACAGAGCTTGGTGCGTATAGCCACAGTTGAGCAGTGTTGCAGAATCCTGGAGAATGAGGAAAGGTCACAGGGGTAAATTTTGCTGCTGGAGAATACGTTTAGACTTCAAGAGTATACATAGAAATGTCCAGACAGTGATCTAAGGAGTAATAACTTCCTTCATGAATGTTACGCGTCTTAGAAGAACCAATCGAAACCGCATCGAAACAGAGTGTTGTTCACAAACTACCGATACGCGTATCAGATCAAGGCAAGGCCTCTCTCCTCCAGTATCCTTTAATACAAATCCTCATTTTTGAGGTATTTTTGAAGCGGTATTGTCGTCCTTAGATCGTTTAGTATATTTTACCAGTAGCCACCCCTTCTTAGTATATCATTATGATGTCAAAATCGGTTCCAGCGATCAAGGAAAGAGACATGCATGAATAGATAGAGATGAGCGCGGGAATATGTAAAAAAAACAGTGTTTGTGGATAGTTGTTTCCGATGAGAAACGGCCACTTTAATGTTTTTGTCTATAAATTCGGGGTAAAAAATAGGTTGCTAGCGAAGAACATTCCACATTCTGCAGGAGACAATCTGCCTGCATCCGCGGATGCAGGCAAATGATATGATTTGTTTGCGAATCGGGGTACCGCATTAACTGAGTATTTTTTATCTTATGTGCACCATGGCACGTTTCAGGTAGTGATTTGTTTTCGATCCTAGTCACACCGCTCTCGTGGTCCTCCTGTTCTGGCATAATTATTCCGATGAGTCCACACTAAGGGGAAGCACTGGACTCGAGTTTCGCTCGTATTAGAGCTCAGCAGCAGTGCATATCCAATGACCGTGCCGGAATTTGAGCCCCAGACACCTGCGAGGCGAGCGTGTAACCACTACTCCACCAACGCACTTTGGACGCACCTGGATTTTTGCCTCTGAACAGGAGAATGTGTTCACACTTGGGCGATATGTGCCCGACTCATCGAACGAACGACGTCCTGGTTGTGAGAATCGATTGACCTGCCAGTCAAGACTTCCCAGTCAGGTGGCGTGACACACGCTTGAAACCCACTGGGCAACTTTTTGGTTGCATTTTTTTGGGTTTTGCGGGATAGGTATTTTGTCCATAGTTTTGTTTTCGGACTGCTGTTTACCTACAAATTAGTGTGAAGCAAGTTGTCGATTCTTGGACAACTCAGGCAGGAAACAAATAGGCCATTTGGGAGTATTTTTACCAGACGGATTAGGTATATAGATATCTGGGTAGCTATTCAAATGTATCGATATGTAGATAGATGCAGATACGTAAGCATATGTATATCTGCAATGTCACCGGGCTCACCAACTTGGATGATTAGACATTAGGTCAAGAAACACGCGAGGAGAAAGTCACAGCCGAATATGATACTGAACACGTAATAAACGGCATAATATTTTCCGCATTTCAGTTCACTAATCACGTTGAGAAAAAGCATGAAGCGATGGATGTCAGTCACATATCGAGGTTGAATAAGAGTTCGAACTATCAGCCATTGGTACCCAGAATCAGGAACTTGTGTCGTTGAGCATTTCCTTCTTCCGATGGCTTGTTATGGAGGTTTATACTAAATTCAAATGAAACGTCGACATTCTGACAATAAGCACAATAGTTCATAATTGCCGTGGAATACTAGTGGGTGTACTTGAATAAAACATAGTTAATGAAAACCTTTAAAACCATACATTCGAGACAAACAAAACTGTGTCACGTTCAGAGAACCAATTGGAAAAATTCACTGGCTGTCTCCCATTTTGCATCTACACCTTTGCCACGCCTTGAGTCCCTGTTTGAAATTTCAATGGCTACTCTAGTAATCTGGAGTAACTTTCCTTCTTTTCTCACTAGTTTCACTAACAATAAATGAAATGCCGCTGTTTTTAATTAGCGTTAGGAACCAAGCGCAGATCTTACAACACTCTCCTAGACCTACAAAAAGAAGCATCAAAGCGACAAGGGTATGGGGTCCATCTAAGTTACCGTCACTCAGGGATAGTTTCCAACGTCGAACGCTGATTCATTCGTCTTAGAATCTTTACAAAACGTTGCTCGGTGATCTTAATAAGTATCTGAGTGGAATTATGACAAATGGCATTCTTCATTCTTGTTCCAAGACTGACAAGACTTTGGTTTTGACATCGTCAACTTTTGCAACTTTTTACAGGTACCGTGGTAGCGTTGTTGTAGCCCACGCAGTCTGAAACGGGCTGAGACTAAACGGTGAATTAGGGATTTCAGTTTGTTTAAGTGGCGGAACAGTATGCAGCCTTTGTTAGAATGAGAAGTGTAGAGCACTGTTGGCACATCACACCAACGACAACACTGAGTTACATCAGTAAGCTACCCGACGGACTCAAACAAAACTGACAGGAGCAAAATTATGGAACGGGTGAAGATGATGGAAGCCTACCGACCTCAGTGGACACTGGTTTATTGAAGGCAACGCTGAAACACATCTTTCGCCAGGAGTCACAGCATGGAGCTGTCGATGAAACCCAAGTACTTCTTGATGGATAAGACGCAAGAATGTGCACCGAGTATGACTGGTATGTGAAGGAAATCCATTTCAATCAAAGCGGTCTACTCCGCAGGTGGAATGAGTAGATTGGCAATATTTAGCATCATTAAAGACACAGGGGTTTATTTTCCTTTTGATTTGAACGAACAAGCATGATGATAGACTATTTTGAGCCCGACAAAATGGCGGTTAGCCTTTGTCAATTCATTAAGAGATGATTACTCTTCCATCGTGTAAAGAAACGGGACTGATCAATTTAGAAACCTAATCTCGGCAGCTTTGGAAAGCCCAACGTCAAGCCAAATCATAGGACGGGTAAATTCGATAGCTGACAAAGTATGAACCGAAGAGTTATCAACTTACGATACGGATTGGATTTGAGAGTCTTTCAGTGAAACACTACGGTATGTTGACCAAATTCATCTAATTTGTTTCACGTTATTTGCTTCAGGGCATGTGTGTTAATTGCAGGTATCCTTCCCAATTATGCCCTACACCTGATGATCAAAAATAAACCCGTTCTGCAAGATAGTAATGACAGTATGGAGTGGTTTACATACTTTTGTCCACTCTATCGCTGAACTAGTGTCAACTTGAAATCCAGCCATTGGTATGGAGAACTTGATTTGGAAACAATAATCGGTTTTGTTTTCCCGTGTTCATCTTGTCTCCCACAAAATATTCGAAACTCTTAGAGACAGCGATAAAAGCTGCTCAGCTTAGGAGTTCTGATAGATCCTACGAGCTACATTTGTTACCTGGGTAGTTGCATATTTTGTCCGAACCTTACTATCCAGGTAATCAATAGTCACATACCCATAATAAAACGTCGCTTATCCATTCACACATATTCCACCCGTTTTTATCCACTTTCCAGGTTCAGACTTGATGGATATGTAAAGTATATGAGGCCAGTAATGTAAAATAACATCCACGACTCTCTTTACACCAGATGGACAACAAAAGCATACATTGAAGCAGCAAAATTATTTTAAAACATTCCAGTTAATTTGCAAATCACCTTGAAACGGCAGGTGCGTTCAAACGAACAGCTGCTTATCTGAACTTCTACGTAACTTAAGGGTTCATTTGCTGCTTCACTCTGGGGTCCCATAATTATAAACGCGAGTATTTTGCTTTCCACGGCAGCGTATTCTTCAAAACGTTAAAAACATTGGTTGTGACAAGTTGACCCTGAAGTTCTGCTCCCACACAGTAAAGGCCGCCTCGGTTAGCCCGGCACATCAGCAAGTCCCGGACAATCAAAGGATCAATTAATATGATTGGACAAAGCGGGACCAGTATCATAATTTCTGTTTGACAATTGGCTCGCGTATGACCTTAAAATGCGTATCGATTGCCAGTGATCGTGAACTCATGTTAGCTGACAATTCGCGGTAGAAAATGTCAGGCCCGGAATGTACATAGAATCACTCTATTGTCCACATCCGATCAACACATTTAACGGGATCCTTTTTTCGCCCCCTACTTGGACAAGCCCTGGTATTCGTTCACTTAAGAATAGACTCGACAATGTTCAAACGGTACTATCAAGATATCCGATTCCTTCACATTATGCAATAGACTGGTTTAAAAACTAATTTCCTTGCTATGGGACGACTATAATGAGAAATTTTTAAGAACCACTGTCAATACCTGTGAGTCCTATAAACTAATTTAGCAGATGCTCGAATTTGTGTCAGCATACGCCAGCTGAGATAGAATTTGCATGCCAGAAGTGAAAAACATAATGAATTCAAATGGTCAGTCTTCTTCATTCCTACCAATAAATTCCCACCACCCAAAACGGGAGGCGGGTGTCTTCATATAATGGTAATGTATAATAACAAGTCGCTTCCTAATGCTTGCTTCAGATATATATGCCTGACTCTGCTTGGTTTCAAAACACCAATGGGCTCATTTGTGAGGTATGCCAGAGGAAGTCAAGAATCCTAGCTTTCGAATGAGCCCATCTTATCCGTATTAGTTTGTTTTATGTTGATTTGGCAGCGGAAGCTTTCATTTTACGACTGTTCTTGCTATTATTCATTTCACTGTGTTGTTTTACTAGTAACACGAAAAGGTCTAATCCTCGTATACTTCTTTGAAGTACGTAGATATGTGTTGGTCGCACTTCAATCTTCTCCCCTTCATCGAATAGCTTACAAAGTTTGTGTTTACCGAAGAGGGGACGCGAAAATTGCGCTAAGAACTGATATGGTTGAAAACTTCCGGTAGCGCTTATCGTACTGTATTCCGAATTTCAATTTCTTGATTGTTCACTACAACCAAAGACAAGGAGTGCTGAGTTATTTTTCACATCCACTGGTTATTTACGCTGAGATGACTGTAGGAGTGTTTAGGAATTAGTACACAAATAACATCGCACCATACTTTGTTAATCAATTGAACGCCAAAATTTGTGATGCATGGTGACGGCTGCGTACAGTATTCCCGTTGGGTAGTTTCCTCTTGAAGAGTCAGCCCACCAGACGTGTGGCCAGAA